TGCAGGGCCGGGCAGTAGCGATGCGGAAGCGTTCGGCGCCAGCTGGGCGAACCACCTGGTTGCGCAGGTCTGCGGGCAGGCCGCCGGTCGACTTTGCGTCCTGCGGCAACGGGGGTGCAGAGGCCGGGACCTCCGGCGGAGGAGGACGGGGGGAGCGGCGCGGGACGGGATGGGAGGCGGTAGATGCGGGCGCAGGGATCGGCCACGCCGCGACCGGTCAGGACGAGGGTGACGGTCATGACGGCGTTGGGCGGTGCCGGTGCGGAGGAGGATAGAATGGTCGCCAAGGACGATTTGGAGACGTGGTGCAGTTGCTTGAGCGGATGAGACGACGCCGCCGGCTTGACCTCTGCCTCTGCCTCGGGTGCTTCTTTCTTGTCCGATGCAGCATCATCCACGTCCATGCCGTTGACGGAGTGCGGAGGCGACTCTGCCTCGGCGTTGTCGAGTCGCAGGAGGTGCTCAAAATCGCAAGCCCACCCTGCGCCGAGCTCGCCCTTGCGTCCAGCGCCGAGGTCGAGCGTCTCCCATGCCGTCCTCTTGCTCTTGGGGCGGCGTTCCCAGGCCGTCTTTCTCCGCGCGCGTTCTTCCATCTCCCATTCAACGCCGGCATCTGTCGCGAGGAAGTCTATGGGGAAATAGGGCAAGCCGCGCTCAAACGGCACCTGTCGCGCCTCGTTCAACCCCGCAAACCTCGGGTTACCGCCTGACGCCAGGGGGAAGTGCACGAGACTGTACCAGATGGGCTGGATGCATTTGAAAGGTGCGAGCACAGTCCACGTTCCTTGAGCCTCTGCGCCGCGCGCTGACCGGGATGCGTGAAGGAGGATGGGGATGGGAGGATCCGAGGGACTGGGGTCGAGGTCGGTCCCAGGCATGCGAGCTCCTTTTCGCTTGTTCACGGACTTTTGTCTCGGTAGCCTCGAAGCCGAGAAACGCTGATCGCGGTCGAAGATCGAGTACGGTTGGAGGCCCTTGTCAGCTGGCCAACTCGACAAAAGGTTCATGAGCCGCGACTGGCCCTCATCGCTGAGGTCTGGGGGAGCGAGTTTTCGCGGCGGATACCTCAGGCGTGGGTCCAGGGTAGAAAATGCCAGGCAAGAATTGGGAGGCAAAGCTGATGGTGTTGCAGCGCTGGTCAAGCCGCTGAAAATGTTGGCATGCGGCTCCTTCTTGGCCAGGTCGGTGTAGTAGGGTTGAAGAACCCCCAAAAGGACTTCGGTCGATGCCGGACCAGTGATTTCGATGCTGCCAATCTCGAATCGCAAGTCTTCGATGAAGAGCTGTGGCGTCTGCATCTTGACCAGCCGAAGAAGCTCATTGAACAGCTCCAGGAACGACGAGGGGTGAACTCTAATAAATAGCTGCCGTTGCCTCTTCTTGGGGTCCGCGTCTTCGTTTCCTGGAGTCCGCTGTTGCTCGGCATCTTGTGGATTCCATTGAATCGTAGCCGGGCATATGAGCCGCCGTCCAAGCCTCGTGTCCCTGCTGAGCATGCCGTTCCAATGCCTGGTACCAGCCCTCCACCTCTGGCCCCTCTCGCTCCAGCAGCTTTCCTGGACGACTCCAAGTTTTCGGAGGACTTGGCAGACCCCGTTCTCGTTACCATAAAGACCAATGGTACTCATGTAGCTCATATCCCAGGCCACGGCGCCTCTCTCACCCTGGCCCCGGTGCGTCGCGCGGTATATCTTTTCGTTGGTTGTCAGGGGAATGGCAAACCTCCACAGAGGCTTCGTGGGCTCAGTCATTCTAGCTCTTTTAGCATGCCAAAGATGTGTAGGCAGCCAGGTCTTTTGCAGTTGACGTTTACGAAACTTGGACTTTGGTCGCGGTGGGTCGTTGAGGACGTTCCGCCTGATCTTGGGTCGAGCCGGACGCGTTGTGATTCTCGTCTGGATGCTCGGGGTATCATTCATAGAACCGTCATCGGTGGAAGCCTTCTCTTTCGCGGCCTTGAGCTTCCGTTTGCGCCTCTTCTCGGCCAGTATGCCCAGCTTTCTCGCCGTCTCCGATCTGATTGTCGCCCGCGTCGTGGTCGGTTTGCGCCGTCGCGAGGTCACAGTCGGTGTGTTGTCGTCGCGCATCTCTTTCATGGCCCTGTTGCGAAGCCTCTTGGGAACCCTCTTGACATTGTGGCTCGCGGTGCGTCTGCGCATGCCGCGGGGCACCTGCTGAAAGGCTCGTTTCGTCGCGGCTCCCTTGGTGTGTCGCATGCTCTCCTCGAGAGCCTTGATCTCGAACTCGCGTGCCTTGAGAAAGGTCTGGAGGTTGAGTTCTCCGTCTTTCAGAGCATAGCCTGGTTCCTGCGTCACAATTTTTCGGTCTTCGCTCATCTTGAGGCGCTTGACGGGCCAGCGCGCCGCGCCAGGCGCTGGGCTGCCTTTCTTTGAGGCATCGTTGCTGGAAGGCGCCTCTTTGCGTTTGGCGGCCGCCGACGCTGGGCCGGCCACTTTTTTGGAGGGCGCACTCGGTGGCATGTCAGCGCATGGTCTGCCAGAGGACGGAGCGTTGACGCTAGGTATCTTTTCCGTGGTGTCGCTGTCGCGGCCGCTGGCGTGACTCGCGATGCAAATCAATTGACGGGATTTTGGATGGAAGACCGGGTCGAAGAAGCTCTTATCTTATCTCGCCTCGACTTGTCACCCCACTCAGGCACCACAGCAGGAGCACCTGCTCTGTTCAGGTTGGCGTCAGTGGCCCTCTGAGCGAGCGCTGACTCGGCGGGACAAGGTGCCAGTCAGTGATCATCTCATGCTTGCGGACTTGTCCACTACAACGGCAAGAACGGGCAAGAAAGCCCAACCAGGGCCGCAGTTGCTTCTGATGCACATGCAATTGGGTTGCTCTTGCAGCTGCCCCATGCGGGGAGGCGTTGCGCAAGGGAAGGAGAGACCCCCCCCCCCCCTCCAGGAGCACCCAGATAGAGGAAGGGCAGGAGAGACACGATGCTTGGATCCTCCTGTTCCTGTCCAGTTCCTGTTCCAAGTATGTAGGTCATCAAAGCTGGGCCATCGTCGGCATCAGCACTCATCAATTCCATTTCGTATTCATCGACCACTGCACCAGCACTGACCGCGTCATCCTCCGACACCGTTTCGTCTCGAGGCCCAACCATGGCACCCAAATCTCACACCCTTCCTTATTCCCTTCGGTTTCTCTTTCCGGCGGTGCCTCTATAGCCGCATCACACCACCTTTCTGGCCCACCACCTGCGCTCCAGCTATCTCCAGAAGTACCTCTTCAACCACAAACGACTCCCCTCCTCCGTGTTCCGCCCTATCGCCCCTCGAGCCGCCATTTACCCTCCTTCATCTTCGGTCGCCAAGGCTAGAACGGCCTACGGCACCTTGTGTGCATCCGACTACGACCCCTGCTCGCATTGCCATTCAACGACGTGCATTGGCGCACGCCTGTCCTATCGTGTCGTCCCTGCGGCAGTTTTCGCCCTCAGCCTGGATCCGGATCCATCCATGTTCAGCTGCCTCGCTTGAGTTGTCTGTCTGTCAACACCATTACCCCGGGACCTTGTCTTGCCTACGGCGACCGACAGACCGAATCTTCGGCGAAGAAACTGACTGGTCTGTGGGTAAAGGGCTGCTGATTAGCCAGCATTCCCACCCTGCGTGAAGCTGCTGCCCATGTTGTCGGCGACACACGAGACATGACTTCCCTCAGTAAGCCAAGCCACATTGTCTCTCATCTTTGCTATCCCTTATCCCGGCACTGTTCCCCCCCCTCCGCCATCCTCCATTTTCACTGCTCACCAGAGCCTGGCGATGCCCTCAACCCACCAATTAGTCACCCCCCCCAACCTGCGCGACTCCAGACTAGATTCGCAGCCCGCAAGCTGCGAGGCTCCGGCCTCTCATCGACACCATGCGGCCTCTCACAACCGTGGCTAACCTGAACTTTCTGCCAACAGTCAGCAAAGGGCGCAAGGTAAGAGTGGCCCCTCTATGTGTGACGGGTGTTCCATGTGTAGCCTGACTTGCCGCGAATGCGCCTCTTGTTGCACGCGCGTCACACCAACCCATACTGAGCACAGCTGATGATAATGCTTCCACTTCTGTAGCCCAAATTCGAACTACATCTCAAGGTGAGTTTCTCTCCTATCCTTTTGGTCCCACCCACTGGTTCCCTGACATGCCTTAGATTTACGATCTCAACAATGTCCCATTAGTCTCTGGTGGCTCGGTAGTAAAATGGCATCTCTTACACTCGATTCATGCCGAGCACCGCGGCCGCACTCACAAGTGTCCCATCGCAAACCACAAGGTCGAGTTCAACTATGCCAAGGTTGTTGGTCATATCCGCATCGGCCTCGACAAGAACAACCATTTGAACGAATGCCCTCTCGAGCTCGAGATCTCTCAGGAATTGTCATCCAGTGGCCTCAGCGGCGGTCGTGATGAGAAGATCGTGCTGGGCACCGTCAGGCTAAACTTGAGCGAATATGTCGAAGAGAGCGAGGCGCTACCCCGTACGAGTGCTACTGCTACAAACCCAGTCCGTAACGGCAGGGAGCGGACGAGCCTAGACAAGGCTCACTTCAGAAAACGGAGCACCAGCAACAGCATTGGTGGCGGTACAGGCGCGTCTTCAACATCATCCCGGCCTGCATCTTCGAGTGGCACTACAGCAGCTGAGGATGCCGACGTTGAAGAGGGCATTGCTCGGCGCTACTTGATGCAGGATAGCAAGATCAACAGCACCATCAAGATTGGTATCCTTATGGTCCAAGTCGACGGAGATCGGAACTATGTTGCCCCGCCCCTCAAGACAGCCCCTGTATTTGGTGGCATCGCGGGCATCATGTCAGGTGACCAGGTCGAACAAGATGACGCAGGCCGTAAGTCTCTCCCGACACCGCCAATGACAGGTGACTTTCGCAGCATGTGCTAAAGATAGACAGAACTGCCATCCATCGCCAAGTCGCGCGAGCAGGCCGAGGTGCAAGACATGTACCGTAAAGCTCTGGCCGCCTCCTGGACCCGCCAGCCGGGCGAGCTCCCCGCCGACCAGTGCATCGAGGACATCTTCGCTGGTGGCAACGGTTGGGCCGACTCGTCGGCGCATGCCAAGCCCAAAAGCTCACTAGTGCCGCAACGAAATCCATCACAGACGAGCCAGTTTAGCCTCAGCAGCAGCGGCTATGTTAGCAGTCGTAGCCGCGGTACAGGCGCTGGCGCTGGCGCTGGTCTTGACGGCGGTGCTGAGACGAGCGATGACGGCGAAGGGAGCAGTAGTGGCCAGGCCGGCGACACCCTTCGGCCGGGCGACTACCGACGGATGCGACGTCAACAACACCAGCCCACGCAGCATCACGGCAGCTCCCTCATGCATGCCTTCTCGCCGCAAAGACATAGACACAAAGGCAGCAATGCTAGTGACAAGAGCGTGAGCACTGTGACGGGCAGGCATAATAATGGCAGTGGGTTCGGGTTCAGCAGCTATCCGAGTAGTGGTAGCCAGAGTCGGGACGAATCGCGACACCGGCATGATGACAGCGCGGCGAGCAGTCGTGACGATCTGCTGAGGCATGACAATGGACGGAGCCGGAGCGAGAGCTTGACGAGCTTGGCACCGACCATGGGAAGTGGAAGTAGTGGTGGGCGGGGTGGCGGACGGGGCGACGTGTTCCGACGGGCGAGAGAGTTTGAGGAGGTTGAAGTCAGGGATGACATGGTTGCATGGAGCCTGCCGAGTGACAACAGATGATCTCGTGGTCTTTTCACACGGTTCGATTTGCAGGATTGTGACACGGATGAAGAACTCTTAATATCTGAGCGTCGAGGAGGAACCTGTGCGGGGCTTGACGGTTTCAATGAAGAAGAAGACACGAATAGTTGAGCCATGAATCAAAATACATGCCGTTTCTTCAGGTCTATCGAAATAGAAAAAGGTCGCCAGCTACAGTAGGACGACGGCATCATCGGCTCATGCCACATGTCGGCATTCATCATTTTTGTCTCTATCCCACCCGCGCATGTATTCTATCGATAGTTCCTGGCTCCTGTCACCTCCCGACCCAGCATCGTCCATGCTGCATCTACCGGCGGCGGCATACTCGCGCTTTTTCTCATCGCAATCCCCTCTCGCTCTTCCTGTTTCCAATAACAAGTCGCTTCTACGGCGCCTTGACCTGGCCGCGAATGCCACCCTTGCCGCCGACCTCTCTCGCCGTGACGGTGACGCCGAGATCGGCGCTGACGTTGATGGTGACCTCGACCTTGCCTCCCGCCTTGACGCCGCGGATGGCGGCCTCGGCCACGGTGCTGCCGATCTTCCAGACCTTCTCGCGGTGCTCCTCCTCCTCCGAGTCGTCGTCGTCCGAGTCGTCGTCCGAGTCGTCGTCCGAGCCGTCGGCCTTCTTCTCCTTGGGCTCGGGCTTGGTGACCTTGATGTGGGTGCCGCCCTCGACGACGCGGATGAGGACGTCGCCGCCGGCCTTGGGCACGGGGACGTGGACGGTGCGGCGGGCGGGGACGGCCGTCTCGGCGGGGATGATGGGGGTGAAGACGTCGTCGTCGGCGACGCGCGTGACGACGCCAATGGCGTTGGCCGTGTGCTTGACCGTGGTGACGGCGGGGTGGGTGGACTGGTCAATGTCGTCCGACTCGTACTCCTGGATGAGCGAGGCCTGGAGGGCGGCGCCGCGGGCCTGCAGCTCCGAGGGGTTGATGGCCGTGGCGCTCGTGGCGGGGGCGACAATCTTGGTCGACGCGGGGAAGAGGCCGACGAGGTTGTTGGCGATGCGCGGCGTGTGCGAGGTGCCGCCGGACAGGACGACCTCGTCAATGTCGAGCACGTCGAGGCCGGCCTTCTTGATGACGCCCTCGATGAGGCGGTTGATGCCCTCAAAGACCTTGCGCGCCGACATTTCGTAGCGCAGCCTGTTGACGGTCGAGGCAAAGTCGAAGCCGTCAATGAGGCTCTCGACGCTGAAGCTGGCGTTGGTGCCGATGGACAGCGCCTTCTTGGTGGCCTCGGCCTCAAACTTGAGCTTGGCCAGGCTCTTGGCGTTGGTGCGGGGCTCCTTCTGGTGCTTCTTGATGAACTCCTTGGAGAAGTGCTCGATCAGGACGTCGTCGAGGTGGCAGCCGGCAAACTCGTAGTCGTGCGCCGTCGCGAGAATGGTGTACATGCCGCCGCGCGAGGCGAGGACGGCCACGTCAGAGCGGGTGCCGCCGAGGTCGGCGACGACGACAATCTTGTCGCTGACCTCGGCCTCGGGCCTCGCGTCGTAGGCGAGAGCGGCGGCGACAGGTTCGGCGATGAGCTGAAGGACCTCGAGACCGGCGTCGGTGGCGGCCTTTATCAGGGCAGCCTTCTGCTTGTCTGAGTAGTTGGTGGGGACGGTGAGGACGGCCGAGGTGACCTTCTTGCCGATGTAGTCCGAGGCGGAACCCACGAGGCGGCGGAGGAAGCGGGTGCTGACCTCGGACACGGAGATGGTGGAGGGAGTCTCGGCGTCCTTGTCGTTGACGGTAAAGGTGATCACACCGTCGGCCTCCTGGGGGTGGGCAGAGGCGTGGTTGTGGGTGGGGTCGATGGAGGCGAAGCTGTCGCAACACGGTGAGTCTCGTTGAAAATACGCAGGGGTGAGGACAGAACGTACTCCTGGCCGACAAACTCCTTGAAGTAGCCGATCGAGTTCTTGGGGTTGCGGACGAGGAAGGCCTTGGCCTGCTGGCCGTAGTACTCATCGCCATCGACATATGACAGAATCGAGGGGATCTGACGGTCTGTAATGGCAAGATCAGCTCGACTGCAGGGTGCACCAGACTGTACAGTAGTAACTCACCTCCGTCCTCGTTCGCAATGACCTCGGCCTTGTCGTCAACGGTGTAGGCGATGGAGCTGTTGGAGTTGCCAAAGGCAAGGCCAATGACGACGCGGTCGCTCGGCGCGGGGCCGGACTGCGAACCCGCGTTTTCAGACATCTGGACTAGTATGTGATGTGTCTGTGGTAAGAAGAAGAAGAAAAAGAAGGGAGAAAAGGGTATATGGCGTCCGAGAGATCGTGTTGGTGCGTGGGAAGGTTGTCTTGGTTGGTCCGCGATCTGGATGGATCTCAAGAGGCACCAAGGTCGGTCGTCGTGGTGGGGGAGCACTCGACCAAAATTTTGGAAAAATTATTGCCCCAGCTGGCAGCAGCCCGCGCCGCCTGTGGCCTTGTCCCCACAGAGAGGCCCCTGGCTGCAGTGGCAGAGTGGCAGCCGGCACAAGGCGAGTCCGATAAGCAGCCGCTGCATCCTTATCGGTAAACAGAACGCCCCACCGACCTTCTCTCAGTCGCAAAGCTGCTTCGGTCAAGAGTCTTCGTCCAAGGCTCTGCCATTGCCATTGTCACATTATCCAGGCCCCTAGACAGCAACCGACGCATACCCTGCAGTCGGAGCACTCGACAAACGCAACGTGATATGGCGGCAGTAGGCCCCTTCGTCCTTCCCGGGGACGACATCGACCCCTCTCTGATTCCCTCCCACCCAAAGCTTCCCTTGCGCCTCGGCCCTGGTCTGCGACATGTCCCTCCCCGCGATATCAAGCCCACCATCGCCGGCAACCTCGCCATAGACGCCAAGAAGAACTCTATCTGGGTTGATCAGTCGCGCGGAAGGGTATGTCATCTTCTTTCCCTCCAGTTGCCCCCGTCCGTGAACTGACAAGCTGACACGTTCTATTCTTTTTTTTTCCAGTACGTCCCCTCCGTTGGTGACCTCGTCATCGGCACCGTCCAGCGCTCGGCGCAGGAGGCCTTCCTCGTCCACCTCGCCGACTACTCCGCCGCCGTTCTCCTCCCCCAGTTCTCCTTCGAGCTCGCCTCCAAGAAGAACCGCCCCCAGCTGCCCTCGGGCGCCCTCGTCTACGCCCGCGTCGCCAGCGCCGAGAAGCACATGGACGCCGAGCTCGAGTGCGTCAACCCCTCCACCGGCAAGGCCGACGGCCTCGGGCCCCTGACGGGCGGCATGCTCTTCACCATCTCCCTCGGCATGGCCCGCCGCCTGCTGATGCCCCGCAGCGCCGAGGAGGGCAAGGTCGTCGTGCTCGACGAGCTCGGCAGCCTCGGCGCCGCTTTCGAGACGGCCGTCGGCAGGAACGGCCGCCTGTGGGTGAACAGCGAGAGTGTCAAGACCATCATAGCCGTCGGCAGGGCCGTGCAGCAGACTGATGAAGGCAGCCTCACGGTGGATGAGCAGCAGAAGTTGGTGCGGAAATTGATCAAGGATTTGAGTTGATACCCCCCCCCCCCCCTCACACCCATCTAAATGAAGGGAATGATGATGCCCCCCGACCATCTAGGCGGGGCTGGCCTGTGTTTTTTTATAGAAATAAAAATTGTAAAAAATCGCTGGTGATAAGCACGGTGGGCTTCTCTTCACCCTATGCCCTTTGCGCCTACACGGTGCTGCTGCTGGTGTTGCCAATCGTGATTTCCCATTGCCTCCCAACGCCTAACTGCTGCCAACAGAACAGAACAGAGGAACAAGTAGTAGGAGAAGAAGATGACGTCGACAAAGACAAAAACAAGCAAGAATGATGTGGACGGAAAAAAAAGCAAGACTCGCCAGCTGTGCTTAATTCGCTGCAACTGCGCTCTTTGCGTTTGTACCCGCTCGCCCGTTCTGTTGATGGGGCCCATCGCTCTGGATGAGCGCCACTCTCGTTATACACGGCCCCACACACAATGGAGCGCATCTATCCAAATCAAGTCCCCGTCATGGTCTCGTCGACGAAATGGGGCTCAGGGTCCTCCGTCGGGTTGATTGAGTGCTTGTTGATCATGTGTCGCCGCCAGTTGTCTTTCCTGGGGAAACCCTTGCCTCCCACTTTGGAGTACAAGCAAGTCGGGTCAAGGCAGTGGAACTTGTGCAATTTGGTATGCTTGTCGTTGATATGACGATCCAGGTGTGTCTTGGTTCCGAACTGCTTGTCGCATCCCTTGTGCTCGCACTTGTGCGGCCGGTCATGGTACCTCTTGTGGTGGCTGTAATCGTTAGTTGCGGAGCCCGATCAGCTGGGCCGTCATGGGTAGGCTTACTTTAACTTGTGGACCTGATCAAAAGAGCGGTGACATTGGTCGCATGCATACGAGCGTGGTGAGCCGCTGGACCCAGCGTATGGCGAGGAGCTGTTCCTGATATCTGGTATGCCGTCTGACCGGGGTGATGGTGTGATCTCTGTCAGATGCGTGTTGGGCGTGTTCTGCACAGATGGCCCTGAGGACATGCCACTCGCCATCGGCGTTGTGTGATCAGAAGGATCCGTTAGGTTTCCATCCACGGACGGAACTCGGTTGTGCGTAGCTGGCATGAGATGTGTGTAGTCCTGCGCAGCTGGTACATCTGGCACCGTGATGTTGTGATTGGCGTCAGGCTGTAGGGCTGCAGCGTACTGATGGGCCTCGTGGAGAGCTTCCTGCTTGACAACAGCCTCTGCGCGCGCCGGCAACTCTTCCGACACTCGTTGATCACCGTGTGCCGACTGGGCCGGGACTGAACCGTCTGCTTGAGGCTGCTTACAATCCATATGTGTAACCTGCGGGTCCGACTTTTGGGGAGGGACGATGTCCGGGTGTTCGATGTAGTAGAGTTCCTGGTTTGTTCGCCATACATGCTCTGATTGGTTGGAGGGGCCCCAAACATCCATGGGGTTCACCGTGCCCGGAAAGGCTTGGTCGGGATACTTAGGCGTCGGTGATCCCTTGGGTTCCCAGGAAAGGGGTGGACCCTCGGCGCCCGTAGTAGATACTGGGCTTGCAGGAAGCACAACTGAGGAATCTGGGGCTGGAGCCGGAGTCGGAGTAGGAGCCTGGCCTAACGGGTAGTTGAAGTCACGGAACTGTGGTGGCGTATGAGTAACTGGTGATTCAGAGAGGTCCTGCGATATGATGCCGTGAGGCGGGTGAATTGGGGGCCCCATAGTTCTGGATGGAGCGGCCGCAAAAGAGTCCATCGTGGGCGAAGGCGTCTGCGTCTTGGCGGCATCTTTCGAGCTTAACCGGCGCACCATGGACATGAGGTTATACTTGAACGAGCTTGTCCGAGAGTTGGACCTCGCCGGCACCGGGAACTGCGCTTCATCGGCTTGCGGCGGTGTCACCATGCCAAAGTTCTCAGTGGGCTCCGTCGGGCTGTAGTAGCTAGCACTCTGTCCGTTGATAACATCACTGTACTCCATGCCGTCGGCCCGAGTAGTGATGAGCTCAATGCCGCCAGGAGTGATGGGCATATGCCCTTGGGAGTTCCACGTCGGATTCTGGCCAAACGACGTGCCCGAGTGACGCCTGTCGATAACTTGGTTTCGTTCGACGACCAGATGGTCTGAAGGCCCGCGTTGATGCAGCGTAGAGGCTCCATCGCGACTTTGGTGCTCCGGACCATTGTCTGCATTCAGGTCCAGCTCCTTGCTGGACTGTCGACCAGGACCGCCAAAGGGGTCTTCCTTGTGCGATAATGAGTCTCTTGAAGAGTGTTGGGTGGCCGGCCTATGTGCGTGTGGTTCTTGGCCAGCAGCGGTCTCAGTCTCAGTCACGGGGGCGTGGTTCGCTTCAGCATCCGAAGTCGCAAGGTTGGCCTGGTGCTGCTGTTTCTTGGCCTTGATGCGCCGAATAATAAAAGGCCAGAAGCAGAGGCAGACAAGCGAAACAGCAACGCATACGCCGACAACGACGCCGGCGATGCCACCTTTGTCCAGAGCGCGGGGTGCAATCGTTGAGCGGCGAGCGATGCGTTCGGCACGCAGACCCAGGGTGTCGAAGGTCGAGTGCTCCGATTGATCCAACGGTAATTCAGTTGCTGGTGAGGTGCCCTCCTGGTCGTCTTCGTCTGACAGAGACATGGTGACGATGCCGTCAGACGAGGTCGTGGGAGGGGCCATGCTAGGCTCGCCTGCTGTTATGACCTTGCCCTCCACATGAAATAGATCCAATTCGAGATGCCGAATGAGGCGTAAGGCGTGAGCGATTAGGCAGGCGTGTGTCCAAGGAAAGGCGGTCAGGCAGGTTGAGTCGCACGTGCAATAAAGGCTGCTTAACTAGCGAAATGTTCTGTCGCTCCGCGCAGATGGATTGAGCTGGATGAGTGATGAGTTTGCTCGCCGGAATGGCGATGAGCCAGCACGCAGAAGATGGTGTTCGGTTGAGAAGTGAGGTCCGCGTCACGAACTGGGCTGGGGGCGGTTTGGGACTTTACCAACGCCTGCCCGCCCTGCCGCCTCAGCCTCACAAGTCCCGCGCCGCACCGAGCATCAGTATGAAAAAGAGGGGGGCTGTGCAGGCACGCGCGACGGCATTGGCTGCCTCCGTCACAAGAGAGGTCGGGGGAGATGGAGAAATACATGGGATTTGCGTGGGGCAGCCACAACACACTCTAGTACCCACTAACAGCGCCTGCATAACTTTCCCCAAGATCCTGTCCAACGAGCCACAATGGAATACTGCCTGTGGCTGCGCCTTCACAAGCAAGATCAGTACCCTGGCTGATGTCATTGCACAAACATTGCAAGATACAACAATCTGCACTGGGAAAAACGGACGGGAAATGGATTGGACTTTTGAGACGACAGTGTCCGTACTTTTGGCAGAACATAAATCGCAGATGGCTTCCTCTGCATCCATGTACCCTGCCGAGGCAAAGCATATGCCCTAGAGGGGTCTGGCTGTTGGCGCTGTTATATGAGTGCAACGTAACCAGTTCGTACTGAGCGCTCCTTATTTCCCCCTGGGCTGGTACTCAGTCATTCGTCGACTTGGGACATACTAGCACCCAAAGGATATGTTGCGCCATCTGCTGGCTATTCACCATCCCTCCAAACTTGAAAAGGAATCTGTCCCCAAGTAGAAAAGCATCCTGGAATGCACTTCTTCCCCAGGAGTATCCAATTACTTCTGTACAGATACAGAGTGCGTTCGACTCAGCACGCCCACTGTCCCTCGTCGATATTTGCCATTCGTTAGCCTTTCTGGCCATCAGAGGCCGGACGGCAGGCTCAGCCACATTGTGAAACTTTGATCTCTAGAAGTCGCCTACAGTACCTAGGTACCAAACGACAGGCCACAAAACACGAAGGCTTACCAGGTAAATCCGCATGTGCGAGATTGTTGTCCACAATGCATCTAGGGCAATGTCCATGTCTGAACGACATCCAGAATCAAATTGGCACCGCCCTCAACCGTACCCGACATATGCCTCGAGTAATGCAGTAGTGTCTTTAAGTCGCATGCCAACCTTTCCTGGCCTGTGGGCATCATGTTAGTGATGTGCGATGCTAACTCGTCTCAGTATGTTGACTGAGGCAATGTCGCGATTCGCCAACAGGCATCAGGACCACATGGACGCATTTCGCGTCGCGTAGATCTCATTTGCCAAAGTAATGTTCAAGTCCGGCTCAAGCAAGCTGAGCTCGTGGGAGCGCTTTACGTCTAATTGGCCATTTAGACGCAGCTCCATGCCCCAAGCCGTATGATGTTCACTTGGTCCCCGACGGCAGTGGCCGCAGTCATACACCACATGTGCATCAGAATATGGTCGAACACTCCCGACTTTCTGTCAAATTTGCAATCACTGCTGTTAATCGTGTTAAGGCTGAGACGAAGCCGAGAGCCCTACGTAGCCAATATGTCATGGTCAGGACCTGGACCAGCATTGCACAGGAGAAACAAAGCCTTTTAGGTAAGATATCCCAGATGGGCCTTGTTGAAGGCCATTTTTGGTTTTAGAGGCTCTAACCTTAGTAAAGCCTTCCAAAATAACTATGCGGGACAGACTGTCACATTGATGCAGCTTACGAAGTCAGTACGACGACGACAGTCTATGAAATGGCAGAACCGAGGGAGAAAGCATGAGCCGCATTGTCAAGACGAAGAAGTGTCATGAAATTTTCGTTGTCACAAGAATCACCAGTCTGACTCGAGCTTGGCAACTTCAAACCTCCACAGAGTCGTCTATAAGCTCGTGAAGAAGCAGGAGCAGGCTCCTGGCGATGATAAATGGAGCTTGCCGCTTCCAGGCGCCACGGAGTGGTCGTTTACACAATACTTGGTCATGTGAAGACTGCACTTGCACTTCCCTGACCTTCGCTGTCCTCCCATGCCCTTCCCTGTCCTTAACTGCATTTTCCTGCCCTTCTCTGTCCCTCGGTTTCTGTTGATGGTTGGCGAGCACACCGGGCGAGCTGTTTCAGAGCGCGCAGGACGGAGAGGCTGGCACCAGTCGACGCCTCAGCTTCTGGACCGCATGGGCCCTGTACCTATTGTCAAGAGCGTGAATGTCAGCAGAGCAAAGGGCTTCCATAGTATTGGCACCGCAGAAGAACTTCAGCTACTGAACGGAAGAACATTCCAAGTATGACCCGCCGTAGCTGGAAAGGTCACCTGTAGCCCTCACATTCGTGGCGCCGCCGACTTCGCGCCCAAGGCAGCCGCATAAGGTGCCCATTTGAAGGCCCCTCGTTTATGCTGCCGGTAATGTACCATATAGGTAGGCAAGGCAGTGTCTGGTTGATCCAATTGTCAACCCTCTGGACCTCGCTCACAAAAGGAATGTGATTCTGGTGCCAATCGGTTGGTGTTTTTCTCTCGATCCCAATGATTTGCATCGGTACAGGCTTTCAGCATCTCAACGCAGGCTTGTGTGCTCAGTTGACTTGTTTACATCCTAAGAAACCCGCACGTGTGAGAAAGTTTCAAGATCGATAGCCAACCCGAGCGGCGACGGGCGATTTCGACCTGGAGCCTGACCATATGACGACCTGGATGTTTAACTGGGTGCGCCAAAGAAATGCTAGCACAGAATACCTGGTCACGCACATTGCGCCAGCCGTGTACTTACGATGATGTTCTTGCCCCTTTTCGGCGTTTCAGGATGTTCAGGGTCTTGGCCATGACCAGTAACAGCTAGCAATCGGCGTTGTTTTGCCTATCTCACGGCGTGCCTCTCACCAGCAACGTCGAGCTTCAATTGCTTCTCGTGAAAGAAACGCCACACCGTAGCAGTGCTGCTCGATCGTGGCACCAAGTTGTTTTTCTAAGACAGGAGGCTTTGATGGAGGCAGCCGTGGCTTGGGCGTCAAACATTTGCAACTTGTGATGCCGTGTAACGGTGGCTCGCATGAGAGAATATGCGGGCTCGCTGGCGAAGCATCTGGCAGGCGGTCGTGCCACCGAGCCTGGTGACACGGTGGCGGTTTTGACAACGACACGTCTCGACTGCTTACTCGCGAAAGCTCAAGATGGCAAAGACGCGGTGTGTGTTTTGTGCATGAGATTATGCCGATGGGTATAGAGGTGCGACGTGATGCGCATCGTGCCAGAAATGGGAGGCAAGAGGTCGGGGCATTTTCCAGATCTCAGTGAGGTCCACACAGAGATGTTCTTGCTCCGTGTTGAAGGGGGAACCTGACGCCGGGCGACGTAACTCAGCGCGAATGTACCGCAGCAAGAGGGCATGCTGTGACCCGATGAACTGGGCGGCATCGGTGATGTCGAAATTGGGCAACGCGGTACTTCCTGGTTGTGACACAAGATATAGCTTTGGCCTTGGCAATTCTGATCTTTGCGTTGTTTGGGTCGAAATGCTGATCCATGGTGCATCCAGATATCAGAAACAGGCGAGGTTAGACGACTGCCTTGACGAGGCTTTACTCTGTGTTGCAACAGATGTGCAAATGCTATGTAATGTTCTCACACACCGAGCGTCTGCGTAATGGAGACAGCTCTCACTGGACAAGGCTACCAGGGCTGGCCCCTTGATCACCTTGCTGAAAGAGTCCACCAACGTGATCTCTTGATCAACCGTTGACGTTGATCGATGAGCACATGCTAAACGTGTCGCACATGCGGTTTTTATGGCATTTGTTTAGAAAATCGCAGGAGTGCTAGCCTTGGCAAGCCGTGCTGCAAGCGTATGACGGTTCTACGTTCTAGTTAGCGCAGTAGTACGATGACCCAAAGGCTCTGACGCGCCTTGCTTCCCTTTGCTTTTGGCAGCAACGCTGTCATCATTTTCTTCCGCTAATCCACTGCATCTCGGTAGCTCGAACCGGGTGGCAGCTCTCATGACTGAGGATACTTAGGCCAGGTGAAAATTCACGACCCTCTGCGGAGGTGATGCCCTAGGTACCATGTACGGCACGGTAAGAAACTCGTCATGTCTCAGAGGGCCATCGTCTAGCTGTCAGCTGCAGAACGAGGATGGAAATTGAACAAAAGTCGTTCTGACGACGTGAATGCGGCTACGGAGATTGGGGTCGGATCCGACAGGCCCCACTGTACCTTCCACTTCCACACCCCACCAAGCTGCTTGAAGCGGGCCCTGGCGAGACATGAAGTCTGACCTGCAGAATGGTCGACGTCACTGGTCGTCATGTTCTTTCCTGATGTTCTGCTGTTCTGGGCTGCCCTGAGCAGCATGACTGTGGGCAAGTGCGTTTCCCGGGTCGATAGGAAAGAGCATTCGGCGCGCGACAGATCTGAAGAGATCACACTACACATGTCGATGGCCGTGGCACTGTCATGGCCATGGACGGAGCCAATCATCAGAAGCAAAGGCCTCGGCGAGGCAGTGATGATGGGCGATTGGTAATGGTGATGGCAGACGTGCCTGCCGTCGCCAGGGGACTGGTGGCCGCTTGCACCTTCCACCTTCCACCTTCCACGCGCAGTGGAGGACCCTGGATTTCTGGATGGTGGGAACGCCCCGCTGCTGGCCGCCCCAAATCGCCCCCATGGCGCCCGTTGATTCGTCAGGACATTCCGATCTGGCGACCCCGGACTGATCCTCTGCATCAGAGCCACCCCTGGTCCCGATCTCCATCCCAACATGGCCATCTCAAGTCGCAGCCCTCATCGTACCGCCGCCTAGAATCCCATGTTCGACCAAGACGTTTCTTGGCCCTCTTTCAGAGAGGGCCTGAGGGCCTCGACCGCCGCCTCATCATGTGCCTTCTGCCGTGGCCACGGACCCGCAAAACCGCAGCACGAAGCATGCACCAGCTGTGCGGCCCGGGCGGACGACATGTGGTAGCCAGGGTTTAGCCATCGAGAAATCATTCCTTTCTCCAGTCCGCCACCTTTTTTGGCCCGCCATTTGCCTATTCTTTTCTCCTTCGACAACTGGTCATCGACTTGGTACCGGTATGCGCCCTTCCTTGTCTCAAATGCCCCTGGTCCCGCCTTTGCAAGCACCCTGACTTCTCTACTCTACCTACCTAGGTACCTACTGTACGGTTCATCAACCCTTACGGCTGTCCATGCCACGAAGTTGATCGAATACAGCGCCAGCGCACACCTGCTTAACTGACCGGTGGTTGACCAATTCTTGTTCAATCTGAACCGAACAGCCAGTAAGCCACCGGCTGGGCAACCCAAAGGTTGCTTTTTTCTTCTTGCCCGCACCCTCGTCCTCACCCTCGCTGCCCGGACGATCTGATCCATCTCTGCTTGCCTACAAGAAGCCACCCCCATCCCGCGTTTTATCGGAGGGTACTAAGTAGGTACGTAGTTGAGTCAGTTTCCAGCATCTTGCTCTGTCTTAAGCCTACGTGCCTAGCGCCGGCAACCAAAGCCCCGTTGCTACCCCATCACTTGGTTGGCCTCCCCCCCTTGCATACAATTGTATCTTCGTTTGTATGACCCTCACATTCATGACCTAGTGGCGTTCCAATCTACTCATTCGCCTCCACCCTTCTAGCGTCACAAGCTAACTCAACAGAGACCCAGCCAGGCGGCACCCTTGACGCCCAGCATCAAGGCCCAGGAATTATCCTACATCTAAGCCTTCTCCACGCCCGTCCTTATTTGTGCCTTCTCAGAACAGTCCGCTCTTACAGCTACCAGGCTGTTGCAATTCCTGTCGTCTCATTCCTGTACAATCACAACCTTGAATTCCCGCCGAGCGCGGCAACGACGACGAATCTCGACGCCATGCCTCCGTCAACGAACATCCTGATATACCTGCTTCGGCACGACTTGCGTGTGTCTGACAACCCAATTCTTCACCACTTGGCTACTTGCAAAGATCACGGCTTTACCCATCTTTTGCCCGTTTATGTCTTCCCGGCGCATCAAATCGAAACTTCGGGGTTCATTCGCGATGGAAGTAAATCTCCGTATCCAGAGGCCAGGAGTCAGGTCGGTAGCTTCTGGCGATGCGGTCCGCACCGCGCCAAGTTTATTGCGCAATCCGTCTGGAATCTCCAAGAGTCTTTCCAGGGTCTTGGCAGCGGACTCTGTCTCCGTGCCGGCAGGTTTGACGACGTCTTGAATGGCCTCCTCAAGGGGCTTAGCGAAAAACAGCAAACCGTCGGCGCCGTTTGGATGACCCTGGAAGATGCGGTGGAGGAGAAAAGAGACGAGAAGGCTGTCTCCTCGATTTGCTCGGAGAACAACATCGAGTTTAAGCTGTGGCAAGACGAGAAGTACTTCGTTGACGAGTGCGTTGTGCCATTTTTTCAAACCTTGGAACCCCGTACTAACATGAATCTAGTCGCGACACCGAACTGGAAAATGCACACGATTTGCCGGACATTTTCACAACATACCGCAAAACTCAAGAACCTCTGAGGGAGCGGCCCAGGCCAACATTGCCTAAGCCTAGCAATGGCTCTCTGCCGCCGTACCCCAGCGATGATGTGGTGCCTGTTCAAGAGAAGCCCTTTGAGATGCCTGCAACATACGAAGAACTCGAAGCAGCATTACTGAAGCCTGTCAAGGATGTTCTAGACGACGCTCCGGAGTACCCGTCGGAGGCCACTTCTGTACACCCGCTGAAGGGTGGTGAGGTGGATGCGCTCCAGCGTGTCGATCACCTGATCAAGTCTTGTTCCATGTCCAACTACAAGAATACCAGAAACGGCCTCTTGGGAGTTGACTTTAGCACCAAGCTATCTGGGTACCTGGCTCTCGGTTGTCTGACGGCGAGGCAGGTGCACGAGGAGATGGTGAAATACGAGGACGGCCAAGGCCTCGAGTATAAGGAAATTGAAGGTTTCGGCAATGGCGAGAACGAAGGCACCAAGGCTGTTCGATTTGAACTCCTCTGGCGCGACTACATGCGTCTTTGTACCAGAAAGTTCGGACATCGCCTGTTCCGTGCCGAGGGATTCCGGGACGATCGGAAGCCGATCCAGTGGAAGACGGCGAAGCAGCCAGAGATTGCCGAGATTCTCAAGCGCTTCCTCGCCGGTACAACAGGCATGGGATTCATCGATGCGTCTCAGCGTGAGCTTCTGCACACTGGGTATACCTCGAATCGCGCAAGGCAAAATGTGGCAAGCTTTTTGGCCAAGCACTTGGGAATCGACTGGCGATACGGTGCAGAATGGTACGAGTGCATGCTGATCGACTACGACGTCAGTTCCAACTGGTCCAACTGGCAGTACGTCGCCGGAGTGGGCAACGATCCACGCGGCGAGGCACGCATCTTCAACCCAGTCAAGCAAGCGTTCGACTATGACAAGCAGGGCGAGTACGTGAAGGCCTGGGTACCTGAGACTCGCAAGTTGGAGAAGCTGGAAAACGCCTTCCAATTATGGACGACATCCAAGGAGGAGTTGCATAAGCTCGGTTTGCAAGACAACCAAATGGTCAAGGACCCCGTCAAAAGGATAAACTTTTCGGTGGAGGGCAAGCCTAAGGGATCTAGGAAGCCGTTCCAGCGCCGTCGAGGACGTGGTGGAGGTGGCGGTGCCGGCGGCGGCCGCGGCGGTTCTGGCGGCAACGGCCATCAGGGCAATGGCCATGCGGGCGGCGGTGGCCATCCCGGGGATTACGGCAACCACTCCCACTACAGCCATGAACCATCCTCTCCGCAGACCATGCGCTCCCATGACAACCACATGGGTTACCACGGTCAGGGTTACCCAGGATACAACGGCCAGGGCTACCAAGTAAACGGTGGTTATCGCGGCGGCTACCGAAACGGTCGGGGCCGTGGTGGCGGGGGTTATCGCGGAGGGCGCGGTGGTTACCAAGGAGGCGGCGGGGGCGAGTCGTACCCTGTCGCAAACGGGTACGGCTACCTCCCCATGGACCAAGTTAGACCGCACTGGACGACGACGAACCCTGGGTACCAGTCGTGATCTTGATTGTGGAGGATTTCATTTCGAAAATGGCTTGACGACATGTAGTCATGATGCGACGAATACACGAGTCGGATGGTGTGCGATTTTGGTTCATTTGAGATAAACTATTTGTACATGCGCTTCGCTTGTCATCGGTTGCCACAGGATGCTATATGAACAAATACAACAGAGTACACGCACGTTGAACTATAGGTTACTTGTACATTGCTTCATCAACAACAGACGCGACTTCATGTCACCAAGGCGGGGCTACCGCAGTGAAGTGAACATCACCATAGCCAGTCCGCCGGCTTGAGGTCCACACCTTTAGGGACGACAAAGAGTCCCGTGGCCTCGCAGATCAACGCGCCCGTAGTTGCCGTCTCCATGCGTGCCACGACCCACACCTTGCGCGTCTTGTCTTGCCGTGCGGCGTCGGGCGACATGACGTCGCCGCCGCCGTCGCCGCCGCCGGCAGTCGCTGGCGAGGTCGCCAGTGCAGCGGCCGCCACGCCCGCGGCATCGCGCGGGGGCTCGACGTGCGCCCGGCCGTCGGCCTGCTCCCACGGCTTGACCGTCCTGGCGCGGCGGAGCTTGGCCTCATGGCGGGCGGCGGCGGCGTCGTCCATGGGGTCCATGCGGACGACGACGAGGACGTAGGGCTGGAGGAGCTCGACGTAGCGGACGTCTATGGCGAAGTTGACGAGGCAGCATTGGCGGTTTGGACCCAATGCTCTACCCCAAATGGAAGTGAGGACCGCGTCATCTACGTGGCAATGGACAGCGTAGTCGACAGCGGCTTGAGGAACGTTGAGTAACCGTGCACAGTGGTCACAC